CAAATGTACTGATTTTATAAGTACCGCTTAATAAAAAATCTATTTTGCAATTACTTTTTACAACTTAGAGTTCTGAGTATTTATAATTTTCTGAGACCATAATTGGTGGTGGACGAGGTATTTTAAGCTCCACTTGGGTATTTTTACTGCTCGCTGTAGGTGTCACATTAGAGGGCTTCAATGGAGATATGTTGCACTTTAGAGATTCTACTGCTTTACGTTTTTTGGTTTTTTTTTTTTTCAACATCCATTCTGCTTCTTTAGCAAGTTCCTCCTCATTAGTCTCGTATGTGAGTCTTTCAATTTGTTTTTCAATTTTCTTGTCTGGAAATATTGCACTTGCACTTCGAAGGCAGGCATTTTCTGCTTTGAGAGTTCCAATTACTTTTCTGAGTTGGAAGCATAGAAGCTCTATTTCTTCAATTTTTGCGAGCTGGATTGATGACATGTCGCTTTGAATATTTTTAACCGAGAAAGGTGTTTGCCCTCCACCCTGGGGTGGAGGTTGGTTGACATCCATGTATATCTAAAGGCTTATTAACAGAACAGGTTCTTGTCTGTGATAAATATATAACAAAATGTTAAATTTCTTGATATATTTAACACTTTTCCAGTCAAGCAAGATTTGAGATAAATATATATGCAAAAACTTTAATTGCAAATTCCTCACAAAATTACTCGTACTAATAATTGCACAATTACACTTTACGATTATATTTTGTGTAATTGGTTTTAAAGTTTTACAACACTGTTTTTAAATTTATTTTTAAGCTTAGAAGCTTTTTTGTTTTTTTGCTGTCTCTACCAGCTAATTTATCTATTTGTGTATAGAAAACTGTAGCTATCTGTCTCTATCAGATTTGTTTGTATTAGATTTAGTTCCACTATTATTAATATAAATTATGTTCCACAATAAAAGCGCCAAATTCTGATTTATTTCTATCACAATATCACAATATACACACACAATTTACACCATTAATTCAGCAAGTCATGCGCAAAATACTTTCATAATTATAAGACTTTGTTGATTTACAAATAGAAAGACAGTGTGAGTACTTTAAATAATTTACCACTTAGCCAAATTTACTATTTAGTTAAATTTTGCAGAGCGAATATAGCCCACGTCCATTTGCCGCGAACTGTAATCAAAAATCGCCAAATTGCGCAACAAATAATTACAAGCATGAGTCTGTCAATATTAAAGATAAAAATATTATGCAAAATGCTGCTAAACAAGACAGCGGCAATAAAAATCAGCTAGGAATAGATAGATACATTCTTGTTACAAAGCGGAAACGCAGCCCTATGACAAAACCAATTAGTCAAGTACCTAAATAAACAAAATTAGTTGAAAACCGCGCCTTCTTAAATAAAAACAGATTTTAAATTTTAACTGACGAAAGCGAAAATACTAAAAATAATACCAAAAAATATAAATCACCTCCAATCTAATTAAGGGAAAAAATTCGAACGAGCTTTTAAAGAAGATGACATCCATTATCGGCGATAAGCTTTTCTATGTAATTCCGCTCTTGAAAGGAAATTTCCATGAAACAAAGTCCATCTTTAATACTGAAAATAAAAATAAAACACCTCAACCAATATTTAAAATAGAACTTGAGCCAAACGCAAAAAAACTCGCTAAAGGAGAAGTGCACCCAATTTACAATCTTCGTTATCTTTTACATCGAAGGATAACAGTAGAAGAACCCTTCAAACGAAAAGATCCAATACAATATATTGACTGTTAACAATTTGGCGATACTCGAACCTATTGCACCTTACCCAGTGTATGTGCAATATGTGGTGATCTACACAAATCCTTAATATTCCCAAAACCTAAGGAAGATGGTATAAACAACCATAAACTTAAAATTGAATATTTTTTAATTAGTAATGCAATTGATATTATGCTTGTGTCTGAAACACATCTTACTCAAAAAAAATGCTTTCAAAATTCCAAATTACTGCTTTCATGACACTAAGCATTAAGGTATGACTCGCGGGGGTACTGGTATTATAATAAAAAAAATACTTAAGCTCTATTTATTTATTTATTTATTATAATTAATTACAAAATATAAAATCTTATAACTAAGATCAGAAAAACGAGCGCTAGCTGCTAGGGCCTTCAGCTCGGATATTATAAATTAAATTTTATTTACTAGATTACAGGCTTTAATATATTTATACATCAAAAGTATATTTTTAACATTAATTGTTTTTAAAACGCTAGTTGGTGAGATATTGGGAAAGATATTACTACGAATAGAATTAAAAGAAGGACAATCGTTAAGTATATGATCTATGGATGGTGTGCTATTACAAAATGGACAGTTTGATGGCTGAGCTTTGAATGTCCCATACGCAATCGGATAAAAATCTTACATTGTTGACGAGTGCATGATTGTGGGTATATAGCTTTTAAACCACTGCTATTGATCGACTTGTAGCGATGGTTGTACACTGACCATTCCATAGCCCATTCGTCTTCCATATGTTTGTTTATAAAATTTAAAACCTCTTTTCTTTCGGATGTCTGGAATAAGAATAAGGGAGAGCGAATGGCGGCAGAGGTAGGTTGATCTGCTAATTCGTTTCCTTTAATTCCTACGTGCCCAGGAACCCACATAATTTTAATTTTGTTTAAAAAACGTATGCAGTTGTTTCTGATAGCACAAATAAGATCGGTGTTATTATTGATATTTTTTACAGCTTCAATTGTAGATTTGCTGTCTGTACATATCAGAAATTTGCCTTTGTTGCATGTTGCGTGGTCAGTAGCAAGTTTTATAGCCAGAGCCTCTGCAGTAAAGATGGAACAATGGGGTGCAACTAATCCAGTAGTGATTACGGAGCCATTTTGTTGTATTATAGCAAATGTGAAATGATTTTCAGTTTTTGAACCGTCTGTGTACAATAGAGTCCAATTGTTTTTTATATACGAATCAGAAAATTCTGCAAACAGTTGTCTATACATTTTGGTGGTTGTGTTACTTTTTCCATAGGTTTGCAGGTCGATTACAAAAGATGTTGGATTAAGAAACCAAGGGGGCTCATGATTTTGTATCATACGATGAGGTTTAATGTCGAGGTCGATGAATTTAGCATATTCAATACACCGCACAATTGTCGACTTAACTCTATTTGTTCGCTTTTGATGGAATACATTTACAACGTCTTTTTGTAAAATAGCGTTGTTACTGCACAGTAGTTTAGGAACAAGTTTATAAGTTGTTGACTTAACTCGCTTTGATATTGTAGGTAGCCCAGCTTCTGTCAATAAGTTTATGATTGAAGTTGTGGGGAACGCAGCAATACTCCTTCGAACGGCAGAATGATAGGGTGCATTCAACTGTCTAATATAGCTGTTTGCACACCATCCAAAGAGTGGTAGAGCGTAATCTAATTTAGAGAGTATAAGTGATTTAGTGATATTAATCAAAGTTGATACATGAATAAAAAAATGTTTAGATGAAAGGTATTTAATAATGTTTAACCTGGCAGCTAGGTTTTTTCTTAATTCTATACATTGTTGCTTAAAGTTAAGTTTGTTGTCAAACACTATACCGAATATTTTTAAATAATTAACAACTTCGATGCCGTAAATGCATTGTAGCTTAAGTTTCGTTGGTTACAATTCTTTTTTTTACAAATGTGCAAAATTTTACATTTATTTAAGGCAAAATTAGCACCGGAAAACTTACTCCATTCTTTTATGTCATTTAATATCTCAGTGAAGATTACTTGAACTGTAGATATATCCTTAACTTTGGAGAATATTATTGGTTTTCGCTTAAAATTACATCTTCAATAATTTTACCCCTGCTGTTGCATACATTGAAACCCCATAAAGGACTCCAGGCATTAAAATCTCCTGTAGCAATAAAAGGAGTATTAATATTATTAAAAGAATTTCTAATATCAAAGGCTGAGATTAATTGTTGAGGCGGAATATATAAATTAATTATGTTACAATCAAAACCTGCATTAATTGTAATGGCCATTGAACATATATTTGAGTTGTAGTATATATGTTTATGTGGAATATGTTTTTTTATTAAAATTCCTATGCCTTGTTTGGCTGTAGTATTTATGGGAAGGTTGTGAAAATATCCCACAAAATTTTTAGGTGTTATTATATTATTTCTGTTGAAAGCTATATGAGTTTCTTGTAGAGCAATAATATCCGGGTTTATATCTTTGATTAAAAGTTTTAGTTCAAGATAATTATTTATATAGCCTTTAATATTCCACTGAAGTATTACGACATAAAAAAGTGAAATAAAAAGAAAATAATCTATGTAAAAAAAAAAAAAAAGTAAAATAAAATTTGTGCAAAAAAATAAAAAATTAAAACTATAGCGAATAAACATTGTTTTTTATGTTTCTAATTTTTATATTGTAATTTATATTTGTCGAGTTTTTTTTGCACTTCATCATCGCTTAAAACTACATCACTATCTGTTCTAGTAAGAGAATCTTGACTAGTAGAGAGCTTTTTTCTAAATTTAGGGATAGTTCCAATTATTGTGTTTATTGTAGAAATATTTGATTTAAGATCGTGTGTTAAAGAGTTACTTTCTTCTAAAACTGCAGGTTTATGAGTACCAATAGTTGAACGAGAGACCGGTTCCAAATTTTGTTTTTTTTCTTCATCGTTATTTGTAATAATTCTGCTTGTACTGGAAGAATTGATGGAAAATGGTGTGCTTGTAGAACGTAAGCTCGAAGAAGAGAAAGAGTTAATATTTTTGTTCTTGTTATTTATTGTTACGATATAAAATCAATTATCGTAACGAGATGGCATCACTAAGGTGATCAGCTGTTTTGGAGCATGCGAAGTAAAAAAGGAGAGATAGAAAAAAGCGCGTGCACATGTAATAATTAATTGATAATTGAATAAATGATTTTGAATAAATAAAATAGAATTATATAAACACAGAAATATAACAGTGGCGACGAGGAAAACTTTTAAAGTGTAAAAATATAGCAAGATGGCAGAGCAACTTGCTGATATTCTGAAACAAATTCAGAATCAAAATCATCAAGAAAATCTTGCAATACAGAATCTTATCGCAAAATTGTTTAAAGAAGGAAAATCAGAAGTAGCGGAGCATTCATCGTCAACATCCAAGCCAACAGAATCAGAATTCATAATTGAAGCACTTGCATCAAACATCACAGAATTTTGTCACGATCCAGAAAATAACATTATATTTGACACTTGGTACATGCGGTACGAAGATCTGTTTCTAATCGATGCTGCAAAATTGGATGATGCCGCAAAAACACGATTGCTTTTACGTAAATTGAACACCATTGTTCATAATAAATACATCAATTATATTCTACCAAACCATAGTCGTGATTTTACTTTTAAAGACACAGTAGAAAAACTCAAGAAACTTTTTGGAAATCAGATTTCACTATTCAATACTAGATTCAATTGCTTACAGATAACAAAGCAGCCCACACAAGATTTCGTTACATATGCGAGCATGGTTAATAAGCAATGTGAATTATTCAAACTGAATGATTTAACTACAGATCAATTTAAGTGTCTAATATTCATTATGGGGTTAAAGTCACCATCAGAATTTGAATTACGCACAAAAATGTTAAATAAATTGGAAAATGAAAGCACGAAAGTCACGTTGGAGACCTTATCAACAGAATGCCAAAAGATACTAAATTTAAAAGTCGATACAATGCTCATAGAAAGCAATGCACAGGTAAATCGTTTACGTGTCAATAACCATAAAACTGAAAAACAAATCAAAAATAATGGCAAGTCAAAAGAACCTTCAAGTTTACCGAAAACACCTTGTTGGTTTTGTGGTGAATTTCATTACTCGCGGCACTGTCCATTCAAAAATCACAAATGCGACAGATGCAAACTTGTCGGGCATAAAGAAGGATATTGCAAATACCGAAAAACTCAAAATGAAAATCAAAAATACCATAAAATTGATAAGGGCCGTCAATTCAATTCAAAAAGCATCTTTACTACAAACAAAGTCAATATGATTAAACGCAAATACATATTAGTCAAAATTAATGGCACACCATTAAATTTGCAACTTGACACAGCATCAGATATAACAATAATTTCTGAAGACAATTTCAAAAAAATCAAAGCCGATAATGTTAGCGAATCAGAACATACAGCACGCAGCGCAACAGATGAGTTACCATTGTCAGCAAAATTCAAATGCAACGTAGAATTTCGAAATCAACAGCAAAGTTTAACTTGTTTTGTTACTCCTATACAAAATCTCAACGTAATGGGTTTAGATTGGATACAAGAATTGAACTTATGTAATATGTCAATCAATTCTATTTGTAATAGTATTTGTGAAAATCAGGATAGTATTCAATTGTGTTCAAATCCCAATAAAGATACTCACCTGAAACATTTTTTTTCAGATGTATTCGATGGCAAAATGGGGTTATGCACTAAAACAAAAGCAGTAATCACAACGAAACCAAACGTTCAGCCAGTATTTAGGTCAAAGCGTCCAGTTGCATATGCGGTACAACAACTAGTTGAAGATGAACTCAAAAGACTCCAAGAATTAAAGGTTATTTCACCAGTAAACTTCTCCGCATGGGCAGCACCTATAGTTGTTGTGAAAAAAACAAACGGAAACGTACGCATATGTGCTGATTTCTCAACTGGTCTAAACAACTGCCTCGAATCACATCAATACCCATTACCATTACCAGAAGATATATTCTCAAAATTGGCAAATTCAAAAATATTTAGCCATATAGATTTATCGGATGCATTCTTACAAATCGAGGTTGATGACGCATCGAAACATCTACTAACAATAAATACACACATCAGGCTATTCCAGTACAACAGAATGGTTTTTGGAATAAAAACATTTCCAGCAATTTTTCAACAAATTATGGACCAAATGTTAGCAGGACTAAATTGCACTGCATCATATATTGATGACATATTTGTTTCCGGTAAAACAGCATCTGAACATACAGACAATTTATATGCAGTTCTTACAAGGGTACGTGATTATGGGTTTAAATTAAAATACGAAAAATGTAATTTCTTTAAAACTGAAATTAAGTATTTAGGGTACATCATTAATCAAGAAGGGTTAAAACCTGATCCAGAACGTATTGCCGCTATCAAGCAAATGCCAGAACCATCAAATATTACAGAATTACGTTCTTTTCTTGGCGCAATAAATTTTTACGGGAAATTTGTTCCGAAGATGCGTGAGTTAAGAGGACAACTTGATAATTTACTTAAGTTAAATGTAAAATGGAAATGGGACGCGGTACATCAGAAGTCTTTCCATCATCTTAAAACTATAATGTCATCAATTTATTATTATGCCATTATGATCCAAATCAGAAGCTAATTGTAGCTGCTGACGCATCAAACTATGGGTTAGGCGCATGCATCATGCATGAATATTCAGATAGATCCATTAAACCTATTTGCCATGCTTCACGTTCTCTCACTCCGGCAGAACAAAAATATAGCCAGATAGAAAAAGAAGGACTTGCACTCATATTTGCAGTTACCAAATTTCATAAAATGTTGTATGGAAGAAGATTTATATTGCATACCGACCATAAGCCTTTACTGACTATTTTCGGTAGAAAAACAGGCATTGCTATACGTCAAGCAAATCGTCTTCAAAGATGGGCAATTCAGCTTTTAGCATACGATTTTGAAATAAGATTCATTTCAACAAACAGTTTCGGATACGCTGATGTATTATCTAGACTTATAAACAACAACGAAAATATTTCTGAAAATTACGTTGTAGCATCAATCAAATTAGAAAGAAGTGTAAATTCAATTATAGTTAACACTATAAATGCTTTACCAGTAACACATAAAATGATCACATATGAAACAGCAAAAGATCCAATTCTAAAACAAATAATATATTATATTACAAATGGTTGGCCTAACAAAACAATAAATAATAGAGAATTACAAGCATTTTTACACAGGAAAAATGAGTTATCATTAATAAATGAATGTGTTGTGTACGGTGAACGTATTGTTGTCCCACAAGTCTACAAAAAACGTGTACTTAAACAATTACATCGTGGTTATCAAGGTATTGAGCGTACCAAGGCATTAGCACGGAGTTTTGTATATTGGCCAAACATTGATACTGATATAAAAACATTTATTCAAAATTGCAATCAATGTGCAAATGCAGCAAAGATGCCTACGAAAACATTACTTCATTCTTGGCCCACACCAAGCGAACAGTGGGAGCGGGTGCATATAGACTTTGCTTGACCGATAGAAGGATGGTATTTTTTGGTCATTGTCGACGCATATTCAAAGTGGCCGGAAATTGTTCAAACAAAAACAATGTCATCACAAGCAACCGTGAATATTTTAAATGATATTTTTGCCCGATTTGGTCTGCCAAAAACAATCGTATCAGATAATGGAACACAGTTTCGTAGTGAACATTTTGAACAATTCTTAAAACATAACGGCGTTGAACATCTATATTCCAGCCCTTACTATCCAATGTCGAATGGTCAAGCTGAAAGGTTTGTAGACACTTTCAAAAGATCTTTAAAAAAATTAGAAGGAGAGGGGACGATCACACAAAATTTATGCACATTTCTTCAGACATATCGTTCAACACCGAATGTAAACTCACCAGAGAAGCGATCTCCAGCAGAAGTCATGTTCGGAAGGAAAATGAGAATAAATTTAGATTTGCTGCAGCCAAAAAAGCTACACAATGCAAAGTTAAGTCCAAATAAATTCAAAATGGAAAAGCAATTTAACAAAAGGCACGGTGCCAAGGAAATAAAATACTTTCCATCAGATAAAATTTACGCCAACATTCCAAATGGAGTTAACCGTTTCAAATGGATGCCAGGGGAAGTCATTGAGAAAAAAGGAAAAGTAATGTACAATGTTATTCTGAACAATGGAAAATTAATTCGAATTCATTGTAATCAATTACGAAAACGCTACCACGACCAAAATAATAACCACAGGTTTTGGGAAGCTGCACTAGATGTGTATGACTTACCGCAACAATCAGATCAGTTTACAAAAACACTCAACAATCAGACACTGCCTAATATTCTACCACTATCGACATCGCCAACCGAGTTACCCATAATGCCTACAGCAATTTCAACACCTACATCACCTGTTCTTCGTAGGACAACACGTAATCGCAAAGCAGTCACTAGGTTTCAACCACAGTAAAACATTTCGAAAAGGGAAGGTGTTACGATATAAAATCAATTATCGTAACGAGATGGCATCACTAAGGTGATCAGCTGTTTTGGAGCATGCGAAGTAAAAAAGGAGAGATAGAAAAAAGCGCGTGCACATGTAATAATTAATTGATAATTGAATAAATGATATTGAATAAATAAAATAGAATTATATAAACACAGAAATATAACATTTATTATGTCTCTTGATTGCACTTTCGAAGTTGATGCTTTAACTGGAGAGCTTGTAGAGAGTGTTGTTGTAATTGTATTTTTTGAAACATTATTAGGTTGCGGTGTTTTATTAATGCCAGATGAAACCACAGAAGAGAAATTGTTGCTGGAGATATCGACTGAAGGTAGTGCTTTATATAGTGTAAGGACGGAAATTTTGTCCACTAAATTTCCGCTTACATACACTGAAGTTACACAAAGTTCTTAAATTTGACTTAAACAAAAGGAAAAAATTTTAAATAGCAACTTTTATTATTTAAACATTTTTTTTATTTTTTTTATATAAAAAAAAAATATTACACTGAAATATTTAATAAATTACACTGAAATATTTAATAAATTACACTGAAATATTTAATGAATTACACTGAAGAAAAGAAAATAAAAACGCTATTCCTATCGACGCACCGTCAACAACATCGTTTATTTGGTGCGCATCAGTAAACAAGGCCAAGTTTCGGTGCGACACCTTTGCTAAAAATTAAATAAATTTATTGTTAGAATTTAATAAAGAAAAAATAAATATAATAATAAAATGTTGATTAGTTCCCTTTATCAAAGCCGAGTTCTCCTTATTTGTTCTGTTGTATTTAATAATTTATTTTTATTTTTTAAATATTATGTTGCACGTCTTTTTTTATACACGCGGCTATCAAAGCGAAATACGACAAGATCAGAAGCACAGCGGCTATACGGCCAAGAATAAAAGCACAGCGGTTTACGCTGCAAAACACAGCAGGTAAACGAACGGAAGAATTTAAAATACGCTAGACGAAAGCTCCGGCGTAAGAGTATTTAAGACAGCGAAATTTTGAAGCAGGCGCGAGTCTATGAACATTCGTCAAAGTGGTATTACGCCGAAAAATTATAATAATAAATTATATGTCTATGAAACATATATCAGAAATATATAAGTCCTGCGTTGGTGTTACGACAACGGCCATAATTATATGTCTATGAAACATATATCAGAAATATATAAGTCCTGCGTTGGTGTTACGACAGCGGCCATAATTATATGTCTATGAAACATATATCAGAAATATATAAGTCCTGCGTTGGTGTTACGACAACGGCCATAATTATATGTCTATGAAACATATATATATATCTTCTTTTAATAATACATATCGAGTTGTACTATATCTTTCTTCTTCTAGGATAGATTTGTAATCAGTTTCCTTTCCAATTTTAAATTGTAAAATTAAAGTAACTTACGGAGGTGTAAAAGGAGTCGGTCTTAGGCAACAGAGGAGGAAATTCGGGAAACCACTGCAAGCGAAGGTCTCATCGACAAGTACGATAGGAAATATAACAAGAGCCTGAGCTAAAAAGAAGATGCACATTTCTTGTTCTTATTTTTATTGAATTAAAATCACATTGTAATTGATATAACTTTATCATACGTTGGAATAATTTTTGGAATATTGTCTTTCAAAGTAAATAAACTATACAATTCAATCTAGTAAACGAACGTTTCCTTTTCTTTCTTTTTTTTAAAAAAAAACCTACGTCACCGAAAAAAATAAATTCATTGTAATGACTCTGGACGACAGCTGAGGATACCCCAGCAAAAACTAAATATTTTTGAACGTCACCAAAAAGTATCGTTACAATAGTTGTTTTGCTTCCCGCATTGTACATTTATTTTTTGTTTTCATTTTTAATATCTCTTTCTGCTGAAAAAATTTAGTACACTCTTTAGAAGAGGCTGGGTGCTGTTCTGAACAATTAACACAAAATGTACGGGAACAGTCAAACGGGGCGTGAGGGGGCAAACCGCAATTTACACAAGCTGGAGCGTTTCGGCATCTTTTGGCAGTATGACCAAGTACCTGGCACGATTTGCAACGCATTGGGTTTGGTACATACTCACACACATCAACGGAACGCCAAGAGATTTCAATATTTTCGGGCAAAGTAAATATGTTAAAAGATAGCAAAACAACTCCGCTGGGATGAGACTGACCTTCGATCATTTTAGGGAACTTGTAGCATTCAACTACGCCCTGCGAACTCAGCTCATTAACTATTTCTTCTTCTGAGATTTTATTTAAATACGGTGCGTATACAGTTCCTTTTGTTGTGTTCAATTGCTTATAAAGAAAGCATTTGATTGGGAAAATAGTTAATAAATCTTAAGCTGATATAAACTTTTGTGCAGTAGCCATGTCTTTGACTAATAACAACAGGTTACCATCTCTTAGTTCAGAAATCGATATAATTTCTTTACTTATAACGTGTAACGACCCTATTTTTCCCTGAAAAAAATAAGGGTTACATAATACCACGCTGCCCTAACGTATTTATGCAAATAATAAAAATAAGCATGAGCAAAAATTGTAAACATGCAAAAACAAAACTTATACAAAAAAAAAATGCATCACAACAGCAAGCCGTAAACAGCCAAGAACAATTCTGCACAGAGAAAAAAAAAAAAAACTTAGAAAATAATAAGCATGGGCATAAATGGTAAACACGTAAAAACAATACTTATATGGAAAAAATGCAAACTTGAGGATAGCGGGATCAAAAGCGTCGACAAGATCGAATAAAAGGGGACAAAAATGTGAATTCGGGCTCTTTTTTTGAATATCAAACTCGAGTAGAGTGGACGTTTTTTTTATCATCCTAGAGCAGAGTGAACGTTTTTTTTTAACATCATCTTAGAGCAGAGTGAACGTTTTTTTTTTTTTTTGAACATCATCCTAAAGCAGAGTGAACGTTTTTTTAATATCAGTTGCGGATAACAGTTGCTGGACCATTGCGCGCCCAGGATACCGATCTGGGAGCTTTAAAAGTTGCCAGATAGAGAAATCTCATAGGAGGCTTCAAAAGTACCCTATGGGAAATCTCAGTGAAAGTATGTACTGGCACGTGGCTTTGGCAGACACCAGAAGAAGCGATATTGGTAAGCATTTTTAAACACTTTATATATTTGCGTCTTCGACATGTGCGTTGAATAATTATAAATACGTTAATACTGTATATTCCTGCGTCTCCGACTTGTGGTGCGAACAAATGCAAAATACGCTGAGAAATCGTAGCTATATTCATGCGTCTTCGATCTGTGCTTTGACTAAATTAAATTTTAAATACTTTATATATTTGCGTCTTCGACATGTGCGTTGAATAATTATAAATACGTTAATACTGTATATTCCTGCGTCTCCGATTTGTGGTTCGAACAAATGCAAAATACGCTGAGGAATCGCATTTATATTCCTGCGTCTTCGATCTGTGCTTTGACTAAAGTAAATGTTAAATACTTTATATATCTGCGTCTTCGACCTATGCGCGGAATAATTATAAATACGTTAATACTTTATATCCCGGCGCCTTCGGAAATTGTTAAGATTTTTGTTAAGAATTATATTGCTCAAGATAAAATCTCTATATGATAATAAAATAAAGTATTGTAAGCTCTATTGTATTGAAATAATATCTAGACTTGTATATATAAACTCCATTTTTTATTTATGAAAATTGTTAAGATATTTTTTTTTAGAATTATATTGCTCAAGATAAAATCTCTTTATATGATAATAAAATAAAGTTTATTGTAAACTCTATTGTATTGAAATAATATCTAGACTTGTATATATAAACTCTATTTTTTATTTATGAAAAATTGTTAAGATACTTTTATTTTTAAGAATTATATTGCTCAAGATAAACTCTCTCTATATGATAATAAAATAAAGTTTATTGTAAACTCTATTGTATTGAACTAATATCCAGACTTGTATATATAAACTCTATTTTTTATTTATGAAGATTGTTAAGATTTTTTTGCTAAGAATTATATTGCTCAAGATAAAATCTCTATATCGTAATAAAAATAAAATTTATTGTAAACTCTATTGTATTGAACTAATATCCAGACTTGTATATATAAACTCTATTTTTTATTTATGAAGATTGTTAAGATTTTTTTGCTAAGAATTATATTGCTCAAGATAAAATCTCTATATCGTAATAAAAATAAAATTTATTGTAAACTCTAGTATACTGGAATAATATATGTAATACCAATAAAAGAGAAGTAGATATAAAAGTACTGTGGTTGTAAATAAAACAGAGGCTAGGGACGGGTGAATCAGACGAAGTTACGCGGGGAATCGGAGTCGAGTCTAAAAATATAAATGGTCTTGTAAGTACCCTGGACACCGTTGAACTATCCCAGCTATAGACTGCCCCACGTAAAGGGGTTCATTACAAACGTATAGAGCTTTTTGCACTACAAAACAAGAGAACTCAGATAAAGGTCTTAGATCTATTGTAAAGATTATCTGTAATCAACTGCTATTCGATTTAATGAATATGGAGAAAATGTCGTAATAGCTGCAATATATTGTTCACCCAACCACAATATAGAAGTCCAAGACTTCCAAAACTTTTTTAAAACACTCGTTTCTAAATTTCTAGTTGCAGGCGATTTTAATGCCAAGCACACATTCTGGGGTTCAAGACTAATAACACCAAGAGGACGAAAACTTTTAGCAGTTGAGAAAAGTGAAGATCTCGATGTCATTTTAACTGGACAGCCAACTTACTGGCTTTCTGATCGACAAAAATTCCCAGATCTTATTGACTTTGGTCTAAGCAAAAATATTAAACTATTAACAATCACCGCATTCCCATCAGTTGAATTATCATCAGACCACTCACCAACAATAATAACAGTACAATGTCAACACAATTGACATATAATACACATATAATACAGATAGACGTTTAACTTGGAACAAACACATAGAGGCTAAAAAGACACAAATAAATATAAAAGACTGCAATCTAAAACCCTAAGAATGATAACAGCTGCACAGTGGTTTATGAAAAATGCTGACTTTAACTTTCTAAATTTTTATTTGATTTAAAATATAAATTTTATTTAACTGAATTGAATGTGATTTTTTGAATTGATTTTAATTTTAGTTTTTTTTTTAATTTTAATTCTAATTTCAATTTTAATTTTAATTTTCAATCTTATCTTATTATCTTATTATAACTCAATGTCTCAATAGCAATGGCTTAGGGGGAAAAAAAGGTCCATTTAATATACGAATTGGCTCCACAACTACGAACAGTAAGAAAGAATTACGTCGTTATCTTTGGGATCAAGGCGTGTTTGTAGTAGTCCGGCACGAGAATATATATATATAAATTAATGAGATTAATAGTCCAGTTAAGTTTCAAAAAATATTTATTAAATGAATAGCATTTACATGTGACTACGTTCTAAAAGATCATAACTTAATATCACGCTTATTCTCTATTATTTTCTCTTACAAATGATTATGTGTTTTACATTTAACCCTACAAAGTGAGAGCGTGCGATAACATGTATATATATATATATATATATATATATATTATTCGTGTGTAAATTGAGATTGAATTAGTGAAATTTTTGTTTCAAAATTCTTGAGTTTTAGTTGGTATGTACCAGAAATTTTGTTTCGGATATACATATTTTATGTAGGTGTTTACTAAATGCGGTGTGGCCTGTTAGTGCACTACAATACCATTGATCAAGGGGCATGTTA